GCCACCCCTCCGCCCCAGCTGCACATCCACGTCCTGGGTCTGGTTCTCACTGGCCCGCTCTGGCCAGTCCCCCTCAGCCTGGTGTCACTTTGCTTCTGGACTCTTTTTCCCTTGGGTGCCCCAGCCTGCAGCATGATGGGAGTTCTGGGGGCACTGAGGTCTCGCTGCTGCCACCCCAGAGAGGGCAGTCATGGAGACTGGGGGTCCTCTGGGGGTGGGCTGTGGCCAATAGGCTGCTTTGCGTTTGACCCCACTGGGCAGAAGGGGCGGGGGGCCAGGAAGGGCTGAGCTCTGGATTTATAGCGTGGTTGCAGGACCGTGGGTTCGTCTGCTCCCCCTGCACGTGTTGTTATTCCTCCAGGAGGCCCCTGCTCCCACTGACTTAACCTGGGGGCCACAGGGTCACAAGATGCAGGGCTGTGAGGAGAGAGGGCTTGGTGGATGCAACCTGGTCGTCAGGTAGCTTGTAGGGAGTGCCCAGCGCCTCGAGGGGCATCTGCGCTGGGCACGGCCATCCGTGGTCTCGGGCAGCCACCAACACCATCTGCCTCTCCCTGAAATGGCAGCTGGTCTTGAGCAGCGTGGCCCTGCGTCCGGCCTCCTGGAGGGTGGAGGCCGTTACAGGTGATGCGGCCCCAATCGTGCCCTCGTCGGGAGAGTACACCCCACCCGGTTGGCTTTACCGCCTCTGACCAACTAGGCAGAGGGCATGGGGGCATGGGGGGGCTGGACTGCAGGCGGGCAGGACCGTGGGCTGCTGTCAAGGTAGAGCGACCAGGATGGGGGGGATTGTGGCCGTATTGCTGGCTTTCCTGGTGGGACCGGTGTGTCATGGGGGTATACGTGGCCCGAGCGGGCCTGTCTTTCTCCAGCCGCAAGAGGCCAGAACTGCCCAGGATGCCATCGGCCCCGAGGATCACCACGTTTCCCCCGGTGCCGGTCACCTGTGATGCCGTGCGCAACAAGTGCCGTGAGCTGTTGACCGCCGCCCTGCAGACAGACCGTGAGTGCCCTGGCGGGCGCTGCACAGCCTGCCTGGGGGTCCTGACTCCTAATACGCACCCAGACTTCCGGGGTGGCCCGGACTCTGACTGCCCACAGCGGCCTGAGTTTAGAGGGTCCTGGGGGACAGCCCTCTCCCCTAGCCGTTGAAGCTGACCCCGGGTGGTGGGGGGGCAGGTGGTCTCTGGGGTCACCAGAGCACCCGGATCCTGGGCGTCAGGTGCGGGGCAGGCTGGAGGTGGTGGAGCCAGAGGGGCGGCTAGTCGGGGCTGCTTCTTGCAGATGATCATATGGCCGTCGGTGCAGACTGCGAGGGCCTGTCGGCCCAGATTGAGGAATATATCCTTTGCGCAGGGGTTTGGGATCTGGGGCTTTCTGGTCGAGCTGTGAGGCCAGCCAGGCCCTGCTTCCCCTGGGGGCCACCACCCCAGTGCCCTCACCGGGTGGTCGGTCAGTTGGGTGGGCTCACCCCTCTTGACCAGGAGGGCCCTCCCCAGACCTGCTGAGGGATGGATTCTGCCTGCTGGTGGGGCGGGGGTCACTGGGGCTTTGAACCTGCAGCTGGGCCTTAGCCACGGG